ATAATTTCTGTGCTGTAGATTCATAATTTCTATACTGTAGATTCATAATTTCGATACTGTAAATTCATAATTTCTGTATTGTAGATTCATAAATCTGTAACAACAAATGAAAAACAAAATTATGAATCTACATTTTCAAAAAAAAAATTTATAAATCTACAGTATAGAAATTATGGATTTGCGCTGTGATTCTATGCATGATCTTCAATTCAGTGCTTCAAGTGGACAAGGTCTCAACTTTAGGTACATGTACAACTATTTGCGACTTAGAAAGTGGACCGTGGCCTTATAATGGAATAGTATTCCGTTATATTATCAATAATATGTTATAATATTTTCATTCTAATCTTATTGTGGCTCATGTATTAAATGATTTGAACAATACAAATTCCATTGTAATAGGTAATAGGAATAAAATATGTAACAGATTAGGGGATATTATTCCCCCCTCTGGCTTTCAATGAGGCTATTTAAGTCTATTTAATTGTATGGGTTTGTGGTCCATTATTGCCATAATTCTAATAATTAATATTGGAATGACAGTTATGATTTAGCAAGCAATAGACTATTTTCTTATCATATCATCTGTGAAAGCTTAACATGAAAGACAAGGGAAAAAAAACACTCTGTAAACCTGAAGAAAGAAGTTGTGAAGAAGAAAGGGCTCAAACTTAATCAATCTCTCGTGGAACCAGGTTAGTTTTTTCAACGCTTCTTATGAAAGTCTTGGTTAAATCATTCAATACCTATTATAATAGTCTTTCATAATAATACTCAGAGATCAATGAGAAAGGCAATTTATATCGTGCACCACGGCGCGCATAGCACGCCCAGACACAAAACGCCGCTGTTTCAATTGCTGTTGACGGGGATTGACGTAACGGACACCACTCCGTCCGTTCAAACCGGCCAAATCCCATTATGTATATTCAGTTAAAAGTTTCTGTGTACTGTGTTATTAATTTATGTGTATTATGTTAAGAATTTATGTGTACTCAGTTAAGAGTTTATGTGTATTATGTTATGAGTTTATGTGTATTATGTGTTATGTTAAATTATGTGTATTCTGTAATGAGTTTATGTGTATTCTGTTATGAGTTTATGTGCATTCGAAACATATGATTTTTTTTTAGACAATACACCTGATGGGGTGAGGACCCCGGCCCAAGAAGATGGGCCCTAAAGAGGAGTCCTAGGCAGGAGACGTGGGCCAGCAACGGGAGAAGCCCAGTAAGGGCTTGGGCCGAGTCCAGGAGTCGGCCCAGGCCCAAGTGTAGGAAGAAACTCGGTCTAGAGTTGCTAAAGAGCATTGAAGAGCCTCGTTTAAAAAGGCACGGTCCAGAGAGTTGTTGGAGAGCGTTCCAGTCTTTAAATCGGTCCAGGAGCCGTTAGAGGCATTCAAGGCAGGACTCGATCAGACTGTTACGAATCCATAAAAGTCGTTGGCTGGTCCAGTAACGGCACCCAACGGCTTAATAATTGTAATTAGCCTTGAAGGCGGTGATTAATATCATTTAATTCGGTGAGAGGAGTGCCTACTATATAAAGGCCCCTCCAAGATGTAAGACGGCGGGTCCATGCCCAGGAAATAAGAGACAGACACTTTCTAGCTACTTTTCGATTACTCTTCCTTCGCTATCACTTTGTGAAAGGTGAATCCACCAATCGAAGGTTGTGTTGGACCTCCTTGGGCCCGAAAACCCAAAAACCAACACTGGCGCCGTCTGTGGGGATCGATACAAAGAGCTACGTGACTCTCTGAGCGGGGCGAGTCCCAAAGTCGACAAAAACAACGTCACGAGCATGTCGGAAGGACAAGACCAAGCTAACAACCGCAATAATGGACTAAAAGCAGATCTGAGGGATCATTTAAACCAACGAAATAATGTTCAGAGTCAGGAAAATGAAACGGCACCGGTGAACCGGCAGCCACCCATGATACCCCTCACCCCGGAACAACTTCACGCGATTGGGCGAGCCTTCGCCGACGCAAGTCGAGGAGTGAGGGAGCAGTCATTTTCTCGACCGATGCCCCACCATCAACAACCTTCCCAGAGGCCGGAAGACAGACAAGAGAATCGACGGGCGGAGAGTCAGCCAGCACGATCGGTTCATTCAAGGTTGGGTCCAAATGCCGGGCGGTAACTTGCACGAGAACGACTAGGGGAAAGGGAGCCCAGCCGCGCACCAGCAGGGCCCCGAGATCGAGAAGCCGGTCGCGAAAGAACTCGCACCAGGAAAACTAGGACTCGGACACGGCGGACCGAGCGCCTAACGCGCAATGATGACCGACCGGCTGAATCGGAACGGCGAAAGCACGGAATCCACAGGAAACCCCATACTCGCAATGAGGGCGATGTGGCCCAGTTGGCCCGAGAGGTACGAGATCTGAAGGAACACATGGGGGGAAAGACCAAATCCCCCGGGCAGACGTTGCTCACCGCTTTGCCGTTCTCCTTCGAGATCATGTCCTATAAAGTGCCCGGCGACTTCAAATTCCTGGAACAAGCCACCTTTGACGGGTCCGGAGACCCACGCGAGCATCTGCTCAGCTATCAGGCCAAGACGCAAGTCATGGGAGTCCAAGACCCGATGATGTGTCGCGCCTTCTTTCCCACGCTGAAAGGCTCGGCACAAAGGTGGTTAGTGGCGCTGCCTCCGAAGTTGATTCACAATTTCGAGGAGCTGGCCGATCGCTTCATGAGCCATTATGCGGCCAACATCAAACCACAGAAGGATTTGACTCACATGGGAGACGTCTACCAAGAGGAAGGTGAGTCTTTGAAAACCTACTTGGTTCGATAGCAAAAGGAGATCCAGTCTATCGAGGAGGTTGAAAATCAGACCGCACTCACTTTCTTCATCGAGTCCTTGCGATCCGGGTAGTTATACCGGGATTTGCGGGATAACCGCCCGGCCACCAACGCGGAAACCATACACATGGCTAATAAAATGGCTAACACGGAGCAGGCCATGAAGCATGAACGGCAACATGAAGTCGGAGGATCCGTCGGCGGAAAAAGGACCCATGCGGAAATCAAGGAAAGGCGTCCGGAAGGGGCTCGGCGACCCGAGGCTAGGCGTCCCTATGACAAGCCTATGGTTCATCCCCATAGGACGGTTCCTCAGCACCCGGTACACGAGGTACAAGCGGTCGCTCCGCCTCCGCCCCCGCCGACTGACGAGCATGTGGTGAATGAAGAGACAGGTAAGAACTCTAAGTACTGCCGTTATCATAAGTCTTACACTCATAGCACGGAAGAGTGCTTTTACTTGAAAAAGGTCATGGAAGGAATCATCCAACAAGGGACCCCGCCTCCTAACCAGTGGAGGTGAAGGTCAGTGACACGGGAGGACAATGATCCTGCAGTCGCCGCCGAGAGCAGTCGCGGCAAGCGATCGACCACTGAGGAAGACGAGGCCCAGTGGCGTCAGAAGTCGGTTATCAACATGATAGTCGACGGACTAGAAGGCGGCGAATTGGCGAATACCAGAAAGGCCTGGGCTCGACAGCTGTACGTCGGGACAGTGTACGGGCGCGAAGAAAGCTCGAAGAAAGTGTGCCGGGAGCCCATCACGTTCACTGATAAAGATTTGCCCACGGGGGAGACACCGCATCGAGATGCGCTGGTCATAGCGATGGACGTAAATGGAGTGGTCGTTCGACGAATCCTGGTCGACACCGGGAGCAGTGTCAACGTGCTATACCTCGAGACTTTCACAAAGATGGGATTAACCCGAGAACAGCTGAATCCAGTCAAGACACCACTCGCCGGTTTCACGGGAGACTCGGTGGAAGCAGAGGGGTCCATCACCTTGCCGGTGGAAGTCGGTAGTTATCTCGACGTACAGAAGCTTAACATGAAGTTCATCGTGGTGGACATATTCTGCTCGCATAATGCTATACTCGGCCGACCAGGCCTGGAGGATCTGGGAACGCTGATCTCCATTGAGCACCTCTGCCTGAAATTCCGCACACCGAACGGGATAGGAACGGTACGTTGCGATAGAAGAGTCGCCCGCGACTGCTACCTACAGGCCTGTAGGGGGATGGGCAAAAGTGAAATGCAAGTCCACGAGATCTCAGAAAAAAAACCCCAAAGAAAGCAGTAATACCCCGCCCAGAGCCGGCCGTGGAATTGGAAGAGGTTGAGATCGACCCGGAACAACCCGACAGGCGGGTCAGAATCGGGGTCGGTCTCCCTGAGGAAATACGAAGTGAAGTTATCAGAGTACTCCAAGAGCACCGACTAGTCTTCGCCTGGGGTCCGGAGGATATGCCAGGTGTCGACCGGTCCATCATCGCCCACCGACTCGCCGTGGATCCAGACCATCGGCCGGTCGTACAGAAAAAACGGTATCTCGCTAACGACAGGAGGGAATTCGTAAAGAAAGAAGTGTCGACGCTGCTGGCCGCGGGTCACATCCGGGAGGTCAAATACCCGGAGTGGTTGGCAAATGTAGTCCTCGTGCCAAAGCCCCCAGCTTGGCGAATGTGCATGGATTATACTGATCTTAACAAGGCCTGTCCAAAGGATCCGTTCCCCTTGCCACGGATCGATCAGCTAGTCGACGAGACCGCAGGGTCGGCTCTGCTGAGCTTCATGGACGCCTTCAGAGGATACCATCAGATCTTCATGCACCCGGTCGACGAAGAAAAAACCGCGTTCCTAACACCGGACGGGGTATATTGTTATCGGGTTATGCCCGTCGGACTCAAGAATGCTGGGGCCACTTACACTCGGATGGTAGCCCGACTATTCCAAGATTTACTGGGGAAGTCCATAGCAGCATATGTAGACGACATGCTAGTCAAAAGTCGAGAAGAGATCAAACATGCGGAAGATTTGGCCGACTGCTTTCGGGTCATAACAAGGTATAATCCCCGACTAAACCCCAAAAAATGTGCCTTCGCGGTGCAAGGCGGAAAGTTCTTGGGATACATGGTGACGAAATGAGGCATCGAGCCCAACCCTGAGAAGGTTCAGGCCATCATTGACATGCAGCCTCCCAGTACCGTCAAAGATTTGCAACGGCTAACTGGTCGACTGGCTGCCCTCAGTCGCTTCTTGAGCAAGGCGGCAGACAAAACTATACCCTTCTTCGAGGCCATGAAAATGAAGGAAGGCTTTGCATGGACAGCCGAGTGCCAGCACTCGTTCGAAGAACTGAAGCAATATCTTTCTACGCCTCCGGTGTTGTCCACCCCTCAGGAAGGTGAACCTTTGTTCTTATACCTAGCCGCCTCCCCCAAGGCGGTAAGCTCAGTACTGGTTCGAGAAGAGGAGCGTACCCAGCACCCGGTGTATTACGTAAGCCGCTCCTTAAATGAGGCCGAGACGCGGTACACAGCCTTGGAGAAAATTGTTTACGCGCTAGTGATCACCGTGCGCAAGTTGGCGCCCTATTTCCAGGCTCATACCGTCCGAGTCCTAACCGATCAATCTCTAGGGAGCGTGTTGCAAAACCCTACATCGTCCGGTCGACTGGTAAAATGGGCCATGGAACTAACCCAGTACGGGTTCGAGTATCAACCACGACCGTCCATAAAAGGGCAAGCCTTGGCCGACTTCTTGGTTGAGTGCACAGTAGGGGAAGGCGAGAAGGAGGGCATCATACAGGATAGCCCAGGCGCATGGTGGGAACTACACGCGGATGGGGCCGCAAGTCGACAACACTGCGGAGGGGGAGTTATGCTAATTACCCCAGAGGGCTTCCAGCTTTACTACGCCCTGAGCTACTTGTTTTCGACATCCAATAACAAAGCCGAGTATGAGGCTGTGTTGGGCGGTCTTCGACTCGCCAAAACACTGGGAGTGAAACGGTTGCGAATCAAGACCGACTCCCGGTCAGTGGTCGGACAAATCTCCGGCACCTGTGAAGCTAAGAACGTTCGGATGGCCCAGTATAAGGGAAAAGCAATAGAAATGCTGGCGGAATTCGGAGCCTATGAGATAGAGCACATCTCTCGGGCAGACAACGTCGAGGCCAACATACTATCAAAAATTGCCTTAGAAGGAGTGCGAGATCACCTCATCAAGATTTGCCAAAGGGAAGAATTAAGTCGGCCTAGTATAGAGGAGACGCCGTTGGAAGTCCAACAAGTAGTCATTGAGGAGTGGGATCGAGAGAAAAACCCCGAGATGTTCTGGATAGAAGACATCCGGCGATTTAAGGAAACGGGCGAGTTACCAAATGACCCCGGAGTCGCAGCAAGGGTTCGACGAAAAGCCCCTTCGTTTCGGATCATTGACGGACAGATATACAAGCAATCATTCGGAGGACCCCTCTTGAAGTGCCTGCTCAGGCCCGAGACCGAGAAAATAATGGACGAAGCTCACCGGGGAATCTGCGCTGCCCATCAAGGAGCCCACACTCTCGCTCGGAAACTAGTCGTCCAAGGGTACTACTGGCCAACCATGATGCGGGACTGTATCGAGTGGATAGCTAAGTGTGGCGTTTGCCAAGCCTTCGCTCGAAAGGATAATCGGCCGGCTATCTTCTACACACCGGTCACCACGGCCATCCCTTTTTCTAAATGGGGGATCGACTTGTTGGGCCCGTTACCAGTCGCCCCTGGAAGCTTGAAATTCTGCGTCGTGGCCATCGATTACTTCACCAAATGGGTAGAGGCCGAGTCGTTGGCCACTATCACCGAGTACCAATGTCGACGCTTCCTGTGGAAAAAGGTAATTTGCCGCTTCGGCCTACCCGAGCACGTAGTTAGTGACAACGGTCGACAGTTCGATTGTCAAGCCTTCGTCGACTTCTGTCGCCGGCATAGCATACGACACACCTAGGTATCCGTGGCATACTCTCAGACTAACGGACAAGTTGAAAATGTAAACCGGACCATAGTCGATGGGATTCGGAAGAAGTTGGAAGACATCGGGGGAAATTGGGTAGATGAGCTCGACCGGGTCCTGTGGGCTTACCGAACTACGCAAAGACGGGCGACGGGAGAGAGCCCATTTTCCCTAGCATACGGCTTCGAGGCCGAAGTTCTGATAGAGGTCGTGGAACCCACCCACCGAGTTCACAGCTATTCTGACGAAGAGAATGAAGAAAGCCTTAGAATTGAGAAGAATTTCTTGGAAGAAAGAAGGGAGGTCGCGTGCGCCCGGATGGTTGAATACCAACAAGCCGTAAAGAGGTATCGCGATTGGAGGATTCGCCCACGAGCCTTCCAGGTCAGCGACCTCGTGCTACGGGACCGACAGGCGAGCCAGCCTACGGAAGGGGGCAATTTTGCAATCAAGTGGGAAGGACCATATCGCATTGCAGCCGTGGTCCAAGCCGGTACCTACAAGCTGGAGACCCAAGAGGGAAAGCCCGTGGACCGAATTTGGAATGTCATCCAGTTGAAAAAGTTTTACCAATAAAAGGTTAGCCGTGTACGAGTATCCGAATTTCTAAACTTAAATAAAAGAATGCCAGTTACCACCGATTAACGCCTTCCACTCAGCAAGAAGAGATAGGGAACAAGGGCCCAGTCCCTTAGTCGTTTCCGTGAAAAAACCAAAAGGAGTCGCCTCGACTGAGGGACTCGGCGAGAAATTATAGAAACAACGGGGCACTGACCCTAAACGTTTCTGAGAAAAGAAAAAGCCTAAGAAGTCGCCTCGACTGAGAGACTCGGCAAGAAGAGATAGGGAACAAGGGCCCAGACCCTTAGTCGTTTCCGTGAAAAAGCCAAAAGGAGTCGCCTCGACTGAGGGACTCGGCGAGAAATTATAGAAACAACGGGGCACTGACCCTAAACGTTTCTGAGAAAAGAAAAGGCTTAAGAAGTCGCCTCGACTGAGGGACTCGGCAAGAAGAGATAGGGAACAAGGGCCCAGACCCTTAGTCGTTTCCGTGAAAAAGCCAAAAGGAGTCGCCTCGACTGAGGGACTCGACGAGAAATTAAAGAAACAACGGGGCACTGACCCTAAACAGTTTCTAAGAAAAGAAAAAGCCTAAGAAGTCGCCTCGATGAGGGATTCGGCGAGAAGAGATAGGAAACAAGGGCCCAGACCCTTAGTCGTTTCCGTGAAAAAGTCAAAAGGAGTCACCTCGACTGAGGGACTCGGCGAGAAATTAAAGAAACAACGGGGCACTGACCCTAAATAGTTTCTAAGAAAAGAAAAAGCCTAAGGAGTCGCCTCGACTAAGGGACTAGACGAGAAAAAAAAGGGAAACAAGGGCCCAGACCCTTAGTCGTTTCCGTGAAAGAACTAAAGGGAGTCGCCTCGACTGAGGGACTCGGCGAGAAGAGATGGAAAGCAAGGGCCGAAGCTAGATCCTTGATCGCAGAAGTTCAACAAAGTGGAAGAACCTAAGGCCTTAAGTTATTCCTTATGAACTAAAAGCAGAAAAGAAATAAAGACAGTCGGAAGGAGCAAAAAAGGATTTCATTAATAAAAGGACCCAAGAGGGGGGCCAACCCTTACAAAAGAGGGCTACCAAATGGAAAACCGTAAACTACGGGGGAGGGGGTGTCGACATCGACTTCCTCGACTCGAGCTTCCACCGTTGGTCCAGCTGGAAGGGTAAGTGAGGAGTCTTCTGCCTGGGTAGGCGACTCTGTAAGCTCTGAAGGTTCCGCCGTAGGAAGAGCTGCCGGATCTGCAGTCGACACAGGCTCATCAGTCGCCGGCAGGAGATCCAGTACTGGCTTGAGGCCCCAGCTCTCGGGGGTAAAGGCAAAATCGCGGGCCAGCAGGGCAGCATAAGTTTCCATCTGGGCCTCACAAAAACCTAGACGATAGTCGCGCTCACCCAAGTCCAGGAGATAGTCATCTCCTTCCGGCGTCGCCAGCCACTCCTTGGCGATCTCCTTTTGCCGAGCCGCCACCGCCGCCTTCACGTCTGCTTCAAAGGCCGCCGACTTCTTGTACTCCTCCACCGCAGTCGTGGCAATCGTCGCGACCTTGTCTCGCTCCTCCTCCCACTGACGAGTCACTCTCAACTGCTCGGAGGTGTGCACCTCCACCGACTTGGCGTGTACAGCCTGCTCTTCAAGACGAGCCTCCTCCGTTTGGCGCAGTAGAGTGGAAAGAGATTGCAGCCCAGTCTTGTATCCCCTTAGTCGCCTGCTCATTTCCATCTGGAAGGTGAGGTTCTACAAGGACAGAAGAAGTTAGATGAAGAGAAGGAAAGAACAAAGAAGAAGAAACGACGAGTCAGAACACTTACGCAGTATGACTGGGGCGAAGCGAGGCCTCGAGGATGTATTCGTCCGGCATTGCACCGGTCATCTCCACGTCCTTAGGCAGAAAAACGTGGTCGGTCCAAGTACGGACAGAGGAACTGCCCTGCCAGATCTGGGCATCCTCATCCAGCTCGATGCCTAACCGGATCCTCTTCGAAGCCGGCGCATCCGATTGCTCGACGGGCCGCTTAGAGCTTGGGCTCTCAGACGGAGGAGGAGGCGGCAGTCGGGAAGGCGAGACGACGGGTGACGGCGTCAAGTCCACCACAGTCCGTGGTGGTGGAGGAGTCGACCTCGAGGCCGGAGAGGGGAAAGATGAAGAAGCAGCAGCGGTGCCCGAGGCGCGTTGAGACAGCCGACTCCTCATCTTCTCAGCTCTATCAGCCATCTCTGGAGTGGGAGTCTCGGCTTCGTCGGAGCTGGTGGAGTCGAAGTCGTAAGGGCCTGTGAAGAAATGAAAAGAGGTCAATGTTAATAGTCGGACAGAAAAATGGAGCATAAAGGAAAGGTCAGGGGGGAGCTACCTAAGGTGGCCGCGCCTTCTGGCAGCAAGCCCCGCTTTGCCATCGCTCGGACCCGAGACCAGTAATTGACGGAGTACGGCCCTCCGCTCTTCAAGAACTCGCCGCCCTGGATCGCATCCTTGGTGAAGACGGCGCGCCGAGAGCAGGGCTTGAACAGAGCAGCCGGGCATAGGGTCGGAAAGGTGAAAGAGGAGAAAGAAGGACGAACAAAGAAGTAAAAAGGTTTCCAATCCTTAATGGAGTCGGAAAGACCTTCGAAGAGTTGACGCGCGGGACGAGCGACAACTTGAACAAAGCCCGGTGAGTGCGAGCCTACCTTGTTCACCGTGAACAGGTACCGGAAAAGGTCCAAGTCTGGCTCGCAGAGCCACCAATGACAGAGATTAATAAAGCAGGTGAGAAGACGAAGAGAGTTGGGCACTAACTGACCCGGAACGAGGTTGTAATGGCGGAAGAAAGGGAGAGAAATGGACACGGAGGCACTCGGAAGCCAAAGGCGACCGAATGCAGGTGAATGCCCACGCAACCCTCCGGTGGGTCGAAGATGTACCGGCTTTCCGGAGCAAAAACAAGGGCCGAAGGCCCTAAAAGAAAGCGGGCCATGTCTAAATCCGCAACAGAGATCTGCGACGGAAGCCCCGTCGACTGGACGATGGGGTCGAACTTGCCTCGCGGCCGTCCGACACCCTCAGGTAGAGCTGCCACCGTCGTGAGAGGGGCTGGGCTCAGAGGAGTAACCGCCCCCGAAGAAGAGGGGGTCGATTGAGAAGAAAACGTCGATGGAAGACCTGACGGGATCTCCATGCGACAAGAAGAAGAAGAAGAAGAAGAAGAAGAAGAAGAAGACGTAAAGGTCGACGCGGGGTTTCCCGCCTAGCGATGGGAAGAAGAAAAGTCAGAGAAGGAAGACATTACCAACCTGAGAGTGCTAACGGAGGAAGAATGCAGAGGCTTGTGCTGAGTTTTTTTTGAGAGTTTGAAGAAAGTGGAAAGAAGAGGGAAGAAGACGAGTATTTAAAGGAGGAGAATCCCAAAGGACGGCTACGTGTCACCCCCTCATTAGAAAAGGAAAAGGCGACAAGAGGTGAAAGGACGCCGCATTTAATGCCTAGGAAAATGGGGTGACGGTTCAGGCCTAGGGTTAGCCTGCAAACGGCGCGTCTACCCTAGGCTAGAACCGGGTAGCAGTGACCCGGCCTGGTAACCGGAAGCCCATTGTAGGCCTTGGCCTCTGGGCCCACCAGATCCGGGTTGGAAGCTTCCAGAAAGGTCCAATGGAACCCGGCCCATCGGTTGGCACGAGCAATGTCTGTAAGAGATCCAAGCCCCGGAGTCGACAGATAAACATACAGGGATGGGGGAAACATTACAAGTGAACCAAAGAGACAAACGATTTATTCAAGTAACAGTAAGGCCTACGACTCGGCTAAATACAGAGTACAAAGGAAAAACAGATCATGGCTCGGCTTCCTCCTCCTCTAACGGACAAGCAGGCGGAGGACCCTCCAAGAAGTACTGAGGGCGAAAAGGCGGAGGACTCGGCTCAGGCTCCGGCACCTCGTCCAGATACACGGCTGGCTTCCCATCATCAATCATTTGCAGGGGCCTCTCCAGGGCACTCTGAGACATGACCACACCAAAAGGAGGAGGAACCTCCCACACTTCTTCCTCCTCTGGGCCCGGGTCGTCCACCACCGGCTCCACCTCGTCGTCGGCCGGATCCACAGGAATCAGGTCCAGCATGTCCGGGGGTATCACGATAGGGTCGTAACTCGAGTCGCCCACCAGATGTCCGCCGTTAGCCAGCCTCTTCTGCCTTAGTTCCTCCAGTTGAGCATGCTCCTGGTTGCGAATAGAGTAGCGCCGATCGCCGACTCTGTAACTCATGATTTAGCACTTCTAAAAGTGGGCGTAATGCGATTCACGAAACGCAAAGGGTCCTTATATAGTCCCAGGAAAACGAATACCTAGGCGGAAATCACGGAGATGATCATAACTGACATAACAGCACCGGATTGGACGGGAGGTGAGAATCTTTGTCAGAGGGTAGTTCCATCAAATCCGCTCAAGAAGAGCGAGATTCGCACGTTGGACTGAAAAAGTTAAATTCGCCCAAGATATGGGGAATATTGCAGACGTCAGACTGAAAAGGGCCTGACAACGTGGTCTACTCCTGGACCAGTCAGCCGGAAGAGTGTGATGAATGCAGAATGGGGAGTGAAAAAAACCCTCCAAAAACAGAAAAGCGCAACTTTATTTATAAAAGATGGGGAATACAGTGAATACGGAGCTTATTACATCAACAATAAATAAATGCTCCTAAACAGCCCCTTGGAAGTACGGAAATGATCCTGGCCGAGGAAATCACTCGCCTGGAGAAGAGGAGTCGCTCCCAAAAAACATCTCCCCCGATAGTCCAGTGGGAGATGGGAAGAACGAATCCCAGAAGGCCGGCATGATGGGTGGCACCACCGGCTCCTCATCATCCAGGTACATCTCCAGATACCGAGCGAAGTCGGCGTCATTCATCAGGCCAGTAGCTGGCCCATCCAAGTCATCGAGCGGAATAGAGAAGGTCATGCGAAAGGTCAACTGTTCGGGGACGGCCACCTCCACAAAGGACCCATCCTGGGCAGTCACCCTGGCGGTAGCCGGGGGCGGTGGA